ATATATATAATATATGCTTTTTGTGTGTCAAGCTGTGGCCTTCGATGCTTCTCTTATTCACAATGCATTCTCCAGACATTCTTTGTAAAGGTAGTAATTCGATTCATTTCTATGGCATATCTGTTAAGCTTCACTAATGCACAGTGATCAAACCCTCAAACATACTTCACTGGGAAAGAATTCTAATAAGGATGCTTACTTAATAAAACCAGTATTACCCAGAAGACCCACATTACTTCACGAACTATAATTATGGCCCACCAGTGAGATACCATCGCTGCCATCCCAGCTAGCTTGTGAAATGCCAGACCTGTTAAACCACCAGCCAGACTGGTCCTCTCGGGCACAGTTCCCTTCGTAGTTGTCGCTGTCTCTGTCCCACGTGCTGAATTTCATTCTCTGGTGACTCGCCCACCACTGCACCTCAGGATGGAAATTCCCTGCCAGGGAGTCTCCAGCTGTTCCAGAATATTCCCCAATATTCAACTCATAAGAATTCTAAAAGAAAAGAAACAAATCCTACCATCACTATTTATAATTTAACAAATATATTTAGTCAACAAACAAGAGAACAGGTTGTGTTGTGCATTTTCATTTCCACTGACGTCGGGGTACTCTAGTCTGGTGTAAGTATTAATTCGTAGTGTTAGTTATTTCAAAATGTTAGTACCTTTTCATCTCCAACTTTAAAATTTTTATATTGTGCATAACGGCTATTTCTTTCAAAATCTGTGAGCTCGATTTTTAACGTATAGTTCCCTGAAAAACAACAAGAAATGATCATTTTTTAGAAATGCGCGATGCGACATTGACAATAGAGGTTTAGAAACAGCTCCCAAGTCTTCCACTTTTACCATCCCTTCTGCCAAGAGTCAGTTTTTAAAGAACAAAAAGTGACTCAGTTATATTTACAACAGAGACATTGTATTGTATATTCGACTGAGAAAAAAATAGGGAAACAATGTTAAAGGAAGAAAGCTTGATTATAGGTAAAGCCTAGTGCAATTCACTTAGTAAAGAAAAACAGAAAATAAATCACTATGTAGCTAATAGATTAAGAAATCTAATAATGAGGGTCAGCAGGTGGCATGGTGGTTAAGGCGCTGGACTGCCACGTGGCTGACTACTGTTCAAGTCTTGGAGCTGGTGGCTTGAAACTCTTATTGGGCATGTGTGCGTGCATGCCCAAAACCTCAAGAGGGGAGTGGTCCCCCTGGGATGATTTCTCACTTTCTCTCTCTATCACTCTCTCTGACTTTCTGGTGAGTGCACTTGCCTTATGGCAAAAACCTAAAAAAAAAATAAATAAATAAAGACATCTAATAATGAAAGGATAAAAGTTTTAAGAAGCTGAGGACAGCCTGTGGTCTGGTGGTTCAGGGAGCTGGATCCCGAATGACTGACTGTGCAGTTTGAGTCCCAGACTTGTTGGCTTGTTAAAAAACAAAAACAAACAAAAACAAACAAAAAATGTGCCAACTGTGTAGGCGTGCATGCCCACTGTACTCTTAGTCAGACTCCCCCACAATATACCCTTGGCTCAGAAGAACAGAAAAGCCCAGAGGGGAATGAAACCTACTACCCTTACCTGTCTCAGAACCTGGCCAATACATATGCACTCTGGCCAAAAACAAATGAGAAGAATATTTTCTTTTTAAATTATTTTATTTTACTTTTTAAAATTATTTTTATTTGCCAGAGAGTATATGCGCTTGCAAGAGCTAAGCGGAGAAACAGAGAGAGAAAGAGAAGGAGAAAGCACCCCGGTGGGGCAAGGTCATGACATGATTCCTTCTCCTCCACCTCTTCGTTCTGTTAGAATGTGAGGCGTGCACACACGTTTCAAACCACTGGGGACTGTAATCAAACTGCAGTTGGTCTTGTAGGATCTAGCTCCCTTAGCCACTTTTTTTTTTTAGAGAGAGATTTTTGCTATAGGGCATGTGCGCTTGCCAGAGAGACAGAGAGAGAGAGAGAGAGAGACAGAAAGTGAGAAATCTCCCTCCCAGTGAGGATGGCCACGCTGCAATCCCTTCTCCTCTATTCTCTTCTCGGGATTTTGGACATGTACACACATGAGCCACGAGTTTTAAGCCACCAGGTCTGGGACTCAAAACGTGGTCAACTACGTGGGAGTCCAGTGATGTAACCACTACGCCATCTGCTGGTCCCAGCTTCTTTTAATTTTGATAAGAATGTTAAAAAAAATAATAATGGGGACCAGCAGATGGCATAATGGTTACGTTGTGGGATTCCCATGTAGTCGACCATGGTTCAAGTCTTGGACTGGCAGTGTAAAACACACACACGCCGGGCATGTGTGTGTCCATGCCCAAAATCCCAAAGGGAGAAAGGAGGAAAAGGGACTGCAATGTGCTTTCTGTCTCTCTGCCTCTCTAGCAAGGACATACACCCTATAGTGAAAACTTTCTAAAAACAAAACCAAACCAAAATGACAACAGCTAGATAAGCTAACAAACTCTTTAAGGGCCGTGTGAGAAAGAAGCACAAATCCCGGCTGTTATCTGGAGACCTGCCTTGGTACTACCAGATGGTAAGCTCAACATGGTCCCAGCATCGACAATAGAGATACATTCTCAAGAAACGCTGTGCACCCAGCCTTCCCGATAGCCCGGGTGATGAGGATTATCGGAACATACACGAACATCAGTAACTCTGAGTCAACAAGTCTTTTTAAAGAGTTGATATCTGAATGTAAAAGCAATTTAGGAACACTTTAGCGGTCAGTCAGCAGCGAGGTTGTCCTGGACCCAGTGGCTTTGAAAAATACACTGCGTGTGTATGTGTGCGTGCTTGCCCACAATCTTGAAATGAGGGAGAAATGGAGGGGAAGGGACAGTGGCATGGCCATTCCTACTGCAGTTTGCTTTCTCCCTTTTCCTAGCTCTCTCTCCAGCAAGCGCTCTATAGCAAATTAAAAATAAAACAATAACAATGCTTTAGGGCCAGCCCCTCAGCCTAGTGGTCGAGGGAGCCAGCTCTCACATAGCCAACCACACGGTTTGAAACTGTGCCCCCCCCACCCCACTGCGGCTTGAAAAACAGGCCAAGCACATGTGCAGCCCGAGGAGACCACAAGTGTGTGCAAGGTCCGTTATTGTGCGTGATGGGAAGTAAAGGGAGGCCACTATAGACCAGGTGAGGGAGTGGGGCCCACGGTCGGTGTTTCCCTGGGTCTCCCTGTTCTGGCTTGAAACTCCGAAGAGTCAGAGACTCTGAAGTCCACCTTCACAAAAAAGATACAGTAGTTTCTAGAGGTCAGACAGCGACGGGCGGTACTGCAGTGCTCTGTGAGGCCAATCTACATGAAAAGGTTCAGATTTACATCGGGAGCAGGCTGGCCCCCCATGGACCCAGAATCTGGGGCTGGCTGAGGCTGGGGGTGGATTGTGGTGTGGAGACCTTGCTGGGAGCCGGATGCAGAGGTTTGCACCCACAATCCTAGCTACTCAGGAGCCTGAGGCAGGAGGGTCAACAGAGCAAGACCAGCCTGGGCAAGGCTGTCTTTAACAACAACAGACCCTGCTGGGAGTGCCTCGTCTCTCTCACTTTTTCTCTTCGCTGTGAGTATGCACATGCTCAAAGGAGAAAGAAACTTTAAAAAGAATGTCATTCCTTAGTCTCCCCTCAGGCTCAGGGTGCACGCAAGAGGACAGGCAAGGAGAAGGCTTTTTGGGGTCCCGAAAGCAAGCGGAAGCTGTTGGGCAGGGAATTCTAGACTCCTTATCACTAGGACAGGTTTAGGACGGGAGTGGGCTCCTGCTGGTCTTTATTTTGGTGCCACTGACCCATCACCTCATGGGGCTCCTACAGGCAGTGAAGGCCATGGGAGCCGAGGTTGTGAAGGAGACAAGGCAGAAGACAGGCTAAGGCAGCTGAGAGACACTGTGTTAAAGGAGAGCCAGAGTCAGGCCTTGCTTCTAGGTAACCACCTAAACATTGCTTCAGTCGATAATTAAATATAATTTATAATATAGGAAGGAAACTGACAGAGAAAGCGGTAGAGAAAGTAGCACCTCAGTGGGTCTGGTCTTGCAGCAATCACGTCTCCATTTCTCCAGCCTGTCAGGATCTGGGATTCCAGCTAGTATTCGGCGTCTCCAAACCCCTTATACTAATACTCCTTCTGACCATAATAAATATTAAAATGCCAAGAGCTTTCCTGACCTTGGATAAAACAAATATAGCCTTACTCTCATATCCACTGCATTGCCCGTGTGATTTGGCATGTTTTCATGGGCAATAAATTGCCTTTTATGAAACTTCAGGATCAGATCTGGGTAGAACTGACTAAAATCACAGGCTACAGCTAAAGCAAGGAAGGCAATGAAGAAAATAAAATGACATAAGATAAAAGAACACGAGGAGTAGAGGCTTGGGAAATATGTTATTACACTAATGATAGTTTAGACCAACACTGACTTCTCATTAAAGATGTGTGTGGACGCATACAGGGGAAATCGTACAGGTGCCTGTACCTTGTCTTGAAATGTATATTTTAAAAGATGGGGGACCAGCAGATGTCACAGTGGTCATGTTGCTGGACTCCCACATGGCCAACCACAGTTTGAGTCTTGGACTCAGTGGCTTGAAATTCACACTGGGTGCATGTGTATGTGTACCCAAGATCCCAGGAGGAGAACAAAGAAAGGATTGCTGCATGGTCATCCCCCAAGAGGGTGATTTCTCACTTTTCCTTTCCCTTTCACTGTCTCTGTCTCTGTCCCTCTCCCCCCAGTGAGCTCGCACATGCCCTAAGGCAAAAACCTCCTAAAAAAAAAAGATAGATTGGTGGATGAATAGAGCAACGGGTCTATGGGTAGATACATGGTAAAACAAGCCTAGTAAGACGTTAATGTAGAATCTCAGTGGTAGGATGAAGCTTCTTTCACCTTTGCTGTGTCTTCTTTATTATTATTATTTTTTCAAAGATATTTTTGCTATAGAGTATGTGCACTCACTGGAGAGGCAAAGAGATAGAAAGTAAGAAATCACCCCCAGGGGGGATATCCATGCCACGATCCCTTTTCCTCCACTCTCCTCTCGGAATTTTGGGCATGTATGCACACATGCCCAACGTGAGTTTAAAGCCTCCTGGCCTGGGACTCAAACTGGTAAGCCATGTGGGAGTCCAGTGACATAACATTATGCCATCTGCTGGTCCCACAACTTTGCTGTGTCTCTGACCATTTTTTGAAATGTAAGATTGGAGGGGACCAGCAGTTAGCATAATGGCTATGTCGCTGGACTCCCATGTAGTCGACCGCGGTTCGAGCCCCCGATACCCGAACCTTACCTGTACCAATAAGAAGGGTGGTATTATAGTTCTCCAACTACTGTCTTGCTTCGCAAGTGATCCAAAACTCAAAAAGGTAAAATGACAGCTAATTATTAAGTCTAACAAATTACATATATATATATATATATATATGTAATGGGAGGACAACATCAGGTGGTGGCATGGTAATGCAACTGGACCCACATGGCAAGGGTCCCAGGTTCGTGCTCTGGATCCTCTCTGACATCGCAGGCCACGTGCAGGTGCCTGCGACCCAGGCAGGCTGAGACTGGGGGTGGGTCATGGTAGAAAGGCCCCCTTGGGGGTGCTCTCTCTCTCTCTCTCTCTGTCTTTACCCTTGTCTATGTCTCCATCTCTCTTTCTTTCTCATGAAGAAAATGAATAATGAATATAATTTTTTTAAAAAGATGAGGATGTAGAAAAAAAGGCATTTTAGGGACCAGCAGTTAGCGTAATGGCAATGTCGCTGGACTCCCATGTAGTTGACCACGGTTTGTGTCCCAAACCCGGTGGCTTAAACTCACACCAGACACATGTGCGTGCGTGCCCAAGATCCCAAGAGGAGAATGGAGGAGAAGGGATTGCAGCGTGGCCATCTCCCCTGGGGGGTGATTTCTCTCTTTCTATTTCTCTGTCTCTCTTTGTCTGTCTGGCGAGCGTACGTGCCCTATAGCAAAAACCTCTCCGCCCCCCCCAAAAAAAGGCATTTTATATATTTTGGTATTTAATTGCAAAAGCAGCCCCAACTTCCCAATTTTCCACTTTTCCCTTTTGCAATGGAACTCCATAACTAGTCCTATTATCTATTTTCTTTCCACTTCAGTCTGAGCTGGTCTTCTGACTTGCTTTTAGCAACGGAAGAAAAATGACTGTGTACCAGTTTGACCTGGGTCTCAAGAAACATATATGTATCCTCCCTCTATTAAAACTCTGCCTCTAGTCCAAGCACAAGTCTAGGCTTAACTAGTTGGAAGATAGTTGGGACCCTACAGAGCAGAGCTGACGTCGTCCATCTGAAGCCAAACCAGCTCCAGTCAGAAGTTGGTTGTAGACCCTTGACCGAGCCCAGCAAGATCAGCAGAGCCCAGCGCAAATCAGCACACCACACACCCAGCCAGCTCAGGAGAAATAAGTTTTTTGTTTTTTATTCTTTGTCAGAGGGTACTCAGGAGAGAGACAGAGAGAGAAAGCAGCTCCCAATGGCATGTGGTCACACTGCTCCTCCATTTTCTCTACTTCTCCACCCTGTCAGGATTTTGAGTGCGCACACATACCGAGCATGTTCTCCAAGCCACTGGGGCTGGGATGTCAACCACGATCAGCCACGTGGGGTCGGACTCCTGATGCACTGTGCTCGACTGCGCAGCCGTGGGGTTGGCTCAGCGATCATTGTATTGAGGAGGCTTGTTACACAGCATTATCATGGCAATAGGTAACTGACACACACACACACACACACACACACACACACACACACTCTTCAGGCCCTCAAGGCATTAAACAAGAACGATTATAATAATACGTATTATAGAAATAGAATATATGTATGAGAAAATGATTCCCCCCAACCCAGTTCTAGTTTTTTCCCCTCTACTCCTAATTTAAAGCAACCACATTTTACCATAGAAATGATTACCTGAAAGTTACTATTACTATCTGCAAATTGGCTATTGAATTAGTTTCATTGCCTATGATTTTAGTAAAAAAAAAAAAAAATTCAATTTTTTTTTTTCCAAATGAATTTGGCATCAGACAAACCTTACCTTGTGTGGTCAATAAGTGAAGATTTTTATTACCCAGTAAATATTCACCATTTTTTTTGACAAAATTTCCAAAGCCATTTTCATAGTCCTTCCAGTCTCTAAAAATTTAAAACAAAAGCTGATTTTAGCAAAATACAAATGTACATATGCATTGCCAAGTTGCCCAATAGCCTCTGATCCCCCCATCTGATTTTCTTGATTAGAAATCCATGTTTAGTATTCGCTCTTTCTCTCTCTAAAAAGAGAGAGAAAGAGATTTTTGTTATAGGGCCCATGCACTCGCCAAAGAGACAGAGAAAGATGGAGAGACAGAAAGCGAGCAATCCCCTCCCGGAGGGGATGACCACACCATGATCCCCTCTCCATTCTACTCTCAGGATTTGGGGCACACAAGGACACATACTCAGTGTGAGTTTCAAGTCACTGGGTCTAGGACTTGAACTGTGTTTGGCCATGTGGAAGCCCAGAGATGTAACCATTATGCCATCTGCTTGCCCCCCAGTGTTGTTTCTTAAAAACATGATTTCCTTATTTACTTGACAGAGAGAGAGAGAGAGAGAGAGAGTGAGTCACTTCGACACAGTTCCCACGCCGTGTGCGTCTCCCAGCCCTGCAGCCAGCCAGAGTCACGAGTGTGGACATGGGCAGTCCCAACATGCTGAGGCAGACCCAGGTGCAAACCTGGAGCCCCTTCCCTTGGGCTGGGCTACGTTTAGTATTTCTATTTAGAGTGAAATTGGAATGAATAGACCTCAGGATGCGACAAAAAGATTTAACTTGTGATAGACCTCAGTCATTAAATAACCCAGTAAATCCCATGTTGTAACTGGCACACCTGTTAAAGTTCTCGCTGCCATCAGATCGTCTCTGGATTACAGTCCATCCTCCTCCATCAGACATGTCACAGTACACAGGGAACTCCGCCTGGCCCTGGAGAGGCCTGATTTTGTAAAATCCACTGCGCTTGTACCCATCGTTAAAAATCTCCGAGCAATCTGTTTGCGAAAAGAAGTCACAGAAGGTCGGTTACGTGCTTTTCCTTTTTTTTTTTTAAGGGAGCCTCTGAATGGGATTACTTGATTGACAAACACATGGTGTCGAAATCAGCTTTTAAAAATCGCATCTTGTACATCTTCCAGTGAGTGTTAGGAAAGTCATATTTTCTCTGTTTTTTTGTTTGTTTTTGTTTGTTTGTTTGTTTGTTTGTTTGCTACAGGGCATGTGTGTTCACCAGAAAGACAGAGAGGGAGACAGAAAGCAAGAAATCACCCCCCAGGGGGGTTGGCCTCGGCGCAATCCCTTCTCCTCCATTCTCCTCTCGGGATCTTGGGCACACATGCACATGTGCCTGGCGTGAGTTTAAGCCACCGGGTCCGGGACTTGAAACGCAGTCGACTACGTGAGAGTCCGGTGACATAGCCATTATGCTAACTGCTGGTCCTGGAAAGTCATTTTTTTCTTTCTTAGTATTAATTGCAAACTGACTCCTGGATATGATCCTGGAAATAAAATTTTAAAAAAAGAGTGAAATAGCAGTTTGGTTTCTCATTTCTTATTTTTGTGGAAAACCATTTTGAAAACCAAGTTATGTGTGATTAATTACAGCATATGTAAGTGGAACTTACAGTTTTATGAGGCAGACTAGTCACGCTTAACACTCCTATGAAGCTAGAAATTAAAAGTAGAAATATAACACTAACCAAATCATTTAATACAAGCTATATTGACTTACAGGATTATAAATCACTTTGAACATCTGGAAATGAACCCCAAATGTAATCTTGTCAGATTCTTATAATCTTCTAGTCTCACCAAATGTTTTTCCTAACCCACTAAAATTTCCAACAACACACATTCTGTTAGATGTTTTTGCTAAGAACTGCAAGCTTCTACTATTCCTTTTATCCTTGAATTTTTTATTTATTTTTTTTAGAGAGAGACTTTTCTCATAGGACATGTGCACTGGCCAGAGAGACAGAGACAGAAAGCGAGAAATCATCCCCCAAGAGGGATGGCCACGCCCTAGTCTTTCTCCTCCATTCTCTCAGGATTTCGGGCATGCACGCACAAGCGCCCAGCATTAATTTCTTTTTTTTTTTTTTTGGAGAGGATTTTTTGCTATAGGGCAACAAACAGAGACAGAGAGATAGAAAGCGAGAAATCACCCCCCAGGGGGGATGGCCACGCTGCAATCCCTTCTCCTCCATTATCCTCTCGGGATCTTGGGCATGCATGCACGCACACGCGCCCAGCATGAGTTTAAGCCACTGGGTCCGGGACTCGAACCGCGGTCGACTATGTGGGAGTCCAGCGACATAGCCATTATGCTAACTGCTGGTCCCTGACCAGCATTAATTTCAATGCTGCTGGGTCTGGGACTCAAACTGCAGTGGGCCTGAAGGGCCAGAGTGACTTCATTTCTTTCGGGGTGCCTCCATTTTGTTAACCCCCCCTTGCTGAGAATCAGCGCCATTTCAAGGGGGCGAGCCGGTCAGGTCACGTAGGAAAAGTCATGAGACCATCACCCCACCAGGACTGACCAATGAGAGAATCAAAGGAGATGCCAGAGACAGCTGCACTCCCTGTAATCTACAGCCAATGTGTAGCCGCCCGAGTGCATTCCTCAGCACCCCTCGACCTTCCCCCCAACAGCCACATAAAAACCCAGCCCAACTAATATGCGGGGCTCTCAACTCTTACCCTCTGTGCCGGTAAGACTGGGAGTCCTGGCTTGAGCCTGAATAAAAGCGACCCTCGTGTGTTTACATCGGAACCGACTCCTTGGGGTCTCTCGGGAATTTCGCGACCGGGGTACAACAGGCCGTGTAACACATGTAACCATGCATAACCATTACGCCATCTGCTGGTCCCACCATCCTTGAATTCTTCTTTGTGGCAGTGTTTCTTTCACCTTTGAAGCAAACTTATCTACCAGTGTGTCACCAAAAGTATATGTTTCTTTTTACTTTCCTTTTTGTTTTTCTTTGCTTCCCTTCTTCCTTCCTTCCTTCCTTCCTTCCTTCCTTCCTTCCTTCCTTTCTTCCTTTCTTTCTCTTTCTTCCCTTCTTTTTCTTTCTTAAGATTTTTGGCATAGAGTTTGTGAGAAGAGAGAGAAAAGCAAAGAAAGAGAAAGGGAGAAATCATCCCCAAGGGGGGATGGTCACTCCTCAGTCCCTTCTCCATTTTCCTTCTGGGATTTTGGACACACATGCACATGCACCCAGCATGATTTTCAAACCACTGGGTCTGGGACTTGAACAATTGTTGGCCATTTGGGAATCCAGTGCCTTATCCACCACACCAGCCACAGACCCTCTGTTTCTTTTTTCAAAAGTTTATTTACTTCTTCTATGAGGGGAGAAGGAGAAAGGGACAGGACTGAGAGAAGCACCGCCATCAGGGTGTTCACCCTGTAACCTCCCCAGTCTCTGTAGGGCCAGATCACAGCGTACTCAGAGAGGTCCCTGAACACAAACCTAGGACCTTTCCCACTGGGCCCAGTTGCATTACTCTTTTATTACCTCCTGGCCCCAATATCTATTCTTTAGCCAGTTTTCAGAATAAGATAAATTGATAAACATTGGGTCTAATCGACAGTGATCTTCATGAACTTAGAGCACATGGCAAATATGGACTTCATTGTTAGATACCCAGGACGGTTTTAGAATGATTGAAGATGTGGCCAAAATAAAGACCCTCAAGAACACCCAGCCACAGAGCCAGCAGATGGGGCAGTGGTTAAGGCATTGGATGTGACTGTGGTCATGTGACTGTGGTTCGAATCCTGGACCTAGTGGCTTGCTTTCTCACTTTCTCTCATTCTCTCTCTTTCTGCCTCTCTCATGAGTGCATGCATTCTATAGGCAAATTTTTAAAAATAATAATATTAAATAAAATTAAGGCTTTTTTTTAAAGAGATTTTCACTATAGGACACGTGCACTTACCAGAAAGAGAGAGAGACAGAGAGACAGAAAGCAAGAAATCACCCCCCAGGGGGGATGGCCTCGCCGCAATCCCTTCTTCCCCATTCTCCTCTCGGGATCTTGGGCATGCACGCACATACGCCCGGCGTGAGTTGAAGCCACTGGGTCCGGGACTTGAACCACAGTCGACTACATGCGAGTCCAGTGACATAATTACACCAACTGTTGGTCCTGAATTAAGTTATTCTTTAAAAAAAAAGAATACCTAGCCACAACATTTGAATAAAAGTACTATAATTTAACATTGCTAACATTCACATTTTACCCTTTTCATTAACATTTTGTTAATTTCCTTTTTTAAAATATCGTTTTCTCAGCTCAGTCCCAGGGCATGCACTGACAAGACACTGTTACACAGAAACCTAGGTCACATGGAGGCTCAGGGTTAGTTCCTAGCCCACTCTACATGGCTGGGCTTGGCGGGACAAGCCTATAAACCTAGCCAGCTGGGCCCTGGGGCAGGACAGGGACATGACAAGACCATGTCAAGAATCTTTCTCTCCTCTTTGAAAAGAAAAAAAAGGGGCTGGCCCTATAGCCTATTTGTTAATGAAGCCGGATCCCATACAGTGCACCACAGTTTGAATTTCAGCCCAGCCGCTCTCTCTCTCTCTGGTGAGCACATGTGCCCTATAGCAAATTTAATAATAATAATAACAATAATCATAATTTAATTTAATTAAAAAGGTTAAAAAGTATTTTACCTTCTTGATTAGATAAGTCAATTCTTTTTTTTAAAGAGATTTTTGCTATAGGGTGTGTGTACTTGCAAGAGAGAGAGAGAGGCACAGAGAGAAAGACAGAGGGAAAGTGAGAAATCACCCCCCAGAGGGGATGCCATGCCACAATCCCTTCTCCTCCATTCTCCTCTCGGGTTTGGGGGCATGTACATACCCGTGCCTGGCATGAGTTTCAAGCATTCCAATCTGGGACTTGAACTATGGTTGCCCATGTCAGTGCCTTAACCATTACTCTACTTGCTGACCCCAACATATTTTAAATTCTTTCTTTATTTTCATTTAAAAAAATTTTTTTTGGGAGAGGTTTTTGCTATAGGGCACGTGCACTCGCCAGACAGACAGAGAGAGACAAAGAGACAGAAAGCGAGAAATCACCTCCCAGGGGGAATGGCCACGCTGCAATCCCTTCTTCTTCATTCTCCTCTTGGGATCTTGGGCACGCACGCATATGTGCCCGGCATGAGTTTTAAGCCACCGGGTCCGGGATTCGAACCGCGGTTGATTACATGGGAGTCCAGTGACATAGCCATTATGCTAACTGCTGGTCCTCCATATTTTCATTTAAATGTTTAAAAAGTTTTTAAATTTATTTTATGAAAAAGAGATAGAGTTAAAATAAATAAATAAATAAATAAAGAGTAACAGTGTACCCTCAAGCGGGTTCTCAAGTCCCAGTCCACCCCAGTCTGTCAGCCTGGGTAATGTGCATGCTTGGTGTGCACAGGGAGGTCCCTGGGTGCAAACTCAGCACCTCACCACGTGGGCCTGGCTATGTCACTACTGCTTCTCCACTTGGCCCCTGTTTTCACTGTGCTGATGCCCAATTATACAACTTTTTTTTTTTTGGCCTCATTACAGATACAATATTTTGTATATTAAATAGGGTGACTAGGCCATAGGAATCAGAAGAGAAAATGAAGAATCTTTGTTACTTTATAAAGCCCTCCCAAGTTTGGAACCAATCACAGGCTACTGCTCTGGTGAGATGTTCATCTTAGTATGATGAAGGCTTTGTTCATATATTTCTTTTGGAGATTCAGAACCATGAGCGGAACTTGCTGGGTGATATTTTTTTAAAAATCTCATTTTGGTAATTAAACAAGAAGAAAAATAATGAGAAAATTACGTCCTAAAATTGAGCCTAATGTTGTTAAAAAGCTTACATCTTGTGGACGGTATAGTATCACACTTTCTTTAGAGAAAGCAGATTTTAACCCTGTTACAAAGAAAGCTCTTTGTTTACATTTAATGTCCATAAAAGAGCTGAGTGG